TGCTGTCGAAGGACCAGCTGTTGTAGGTTGATGAGGTGGTGGGGGATAGTATGGTGGAGCATATGGTGGAAATGGATAAGTAGGAGGGGCACCAGCATATGGTGGGGGTGTGTAGTATGGGTAGAAAGGAGTACTCTGCCCGGGATCTGGTGAAGGAAATCGGGGGTCTGCTTAGTAAAACTGGGGGCTACTGGCTCCAAGAGTGGGTAAAGGCTGTGTAGCAGGCTGAGGCTGTGTAGTAAGCTGAGACTGTGTAGCAGGCTGAGATTGTGTAGCAGGCTGAGACGAGGTGGTCCCCTCAGTACATACTGTCCTAGCTGGTCCAACTATAACTTTCTTAGGGCGTCTGTTAAAAATGTTTTTTATCAATCCTCTACTAGGCTCTTCACCTGAAGCCATCTGCACATAAATAAAAAAAAAATATTAAAAACATGAGTTATAACAAAAATTTAAGAAAAAATAACGCATCAGTAACAATAAAATAAATGCAGTGAAGTAAAATACATGGAAGTAAAATAAAAAGCAGTGCAGTAGCAAAAATAAATTTAATTTACCTTATGTTGTTAACTCATCATTTGTTGATTCACATTCATTAGATGATATACTCCCAGCACTGTCAGATTTATCATTACTTTCCTCTATGGTTAGATCTACCTCCTCTAACTGCAACTCGCTCTCATTAATTCTGATTTGGTCATCTACATTGATTGGGAGATTTTTTAAATTAGACATAAACTCTTCTTGATGTGCTGATGGTATCGAAGTAGTTTTTTCAATTACTCCCATTGGTTTTGTCTTCATAACTACTAGCCAATCCTGTTTGCCTCGTATTCTGCTTGGATAGTTAGCATAATAGACTTGAGTTACCTGACTAGCAATGATGAATGGATCAAACTTTGCATATCTCCTAGCCCGCTTTACTTCTGTTATACCGTAAATTGGATGAACTTTCGTGCCTCTATTTGGTACTGGATCAAACCATTCACAATTGAAGAGATAGACATGCAGTGTTATTGTGACCAGGATATTCAACCTCTAATATTTCTTATAATACCCCTTAGTATTCAAAATCATCCCATGTATGGGTGTTCCCTCTTACACATATGCCATAATTTTCTGTCTTCTAACATTCACACCAATTTTTTATTTGGAATTTATAATCATTAACCACAAATATTTGATAATAGTTTACTAATCTATTTGGTCCCCAAGCTAACTCAGATAACCTTGAGCACTGCGAACTGTCTTCAATGTGTACCTTTAAATGTACAAGATGTTATTATTATTAATATTTTTTTCAGACATAACTCATTAAGTAAGACTAATTATTCAAAATATACCGTATTTTTAAACTAAGTAGTGAATTATTTTCCACTATTTTCTAGACTTCTCCTTCTTCTGATGTACTAAGACTATCAATGAATCTCATACAAATTCACATCTTGAGTTTAGATCAAATTTTAAAAGAAAATCAAAAATAGAAATAACTTAACTCATACTTACTCGAGATACGGCTCAACTTCATCACAATTAAGCAAAATGTACAATGTGATAATTGTCATCTCCTTAACGGTCAAATAACGCACTGTGCTAGCGCCTAAAGGTTCCCCAATTCCACTGAATACAGATATATTAGAAGATTTACCAACATTTTGAGATGCTGAACTTTCACCTGATTGAGACATTGTTTCAAAATAATACGAGCAAAACTGAGTTGTCTCGTATGTTAAATATGCTTCACAGATAGAGCCTTAGGGTCGTGATTTGTTCTTAGCGGTCTTCTTAAGTTTATTTAAATATCTCTCAAAAGGATACAACCACCTATACTGAACAGGTCCACCAACCATAGTCTCATATGGTAATTGAATAGGTAGATGCTCCATAGAGTCAAAGAAGTTTGGAGGAAATATTTTCTCAAGTTGACACAAAATGTATGGAATTTGCTGCTCCATATAAATCAAATTCTCTACATTTAATTTAGAAGAGCATAAATCTTTGAAGAAAATACTTAGCTTGATCAAGGGCTTTAAAATCTGATCTGGCAGATAACTAAAAGCAGTGGATAGTAGACATTGCATGAAGATGTGACAATCATGACTTTTTAATCCGAATAATCTCCCTGATCTTATGTCAATACACTTGCTTAGAATGGAAGAATATCCATCAGGTACTCGTAGAGTCTTCACCCATTCACAAATTGCTCGTTTTTGCTCTAAAGTTAATGTGAATGGAGCTTTGGGTTTGAGAAATTTTCCGGCTCCACCATCCTTCAATTCCAAAGCTTTCCTTCTACAAATCTCCTTTAAGTCCATCCTTGCTTTTATATTATCTTTTGATTTCTCTTTGATGTTCATAA